TGCATAAATCCAGACGTCTCGTCCTGTCGAGGAGTCAGAAGTCATTATTTAAGTAGAAGAAGCTCAGTAGGACTAGACACCTTAATCTCATTGTGTTTAACCACTAAATTAGTAATTCGCCTAAAAGTTTATGCAATAAAATGCTTAATATTGCGGCGACATTATTCTGAAGAGGCTAGACATTAAATTTTATGAATTTTGATTCTATTTAATACACCTCAGAATAGATCCAAATTATTGAACATTTCTAAACGTATTTTAGAAAGTTTTTTATAATATAATACTATTTGTTCTTAATTATAATTGTTTTCGATTTGATTATTAAATATTAATTAAATAATTATTTGAAATAAATATTTTCTGATTCTTTTTTTTTAATTTCAATTAATAGTACCTTTTCCGATTAGGGGTCCATTCTTTAAAAAGTTGGATAAAATTAATTTTAGATTATAAAAATAACCGTATGTTATTTTAATTTTGTATTCTGTATTATTTGGTTAAAATTAAATGACAAATAGCGAATATCTAGAGTTAAAACTATTCAACTTGGGGCTTATGATGCTAATAAAGCCCGACCTGTCAAACTGGTTATGTCTTCTGAAGATAATGTTCATGAAATTATAAAATTTGTTGGAAAATTTAAAGAAAAAATCCGAATCAATCAAGTTTCTCTTGCTTTTGATAGAACTCCCAAACAAAATGAATGCTACCTAGCACTGAAAAAAAAAAAAAAAAATTGATGAGAAAATTAAAAATGGTGATAAAGATATTAAAATTTAATTATTATAACTAAAAACAATGCGAAAATTAATTACAAAAATATAAAGGTGAATATTATATTAAATTTAACCAACTAAGTTTTATGGAACAACAAATTTAAGTTTTATATGCTGTATATATACCAAGCACTGAAGATGCCATCAATAATAATTCCGCAAAATTTTGGTTCTTTGTAAATATAAAACGTGGTAAATCAAGAATACCAGGAAGCATGTCTTTGGGATCCGAAGCACTCGACTGTCCTTAGTCAATATTTGATAGCTTCTCCACATTTTTTAAGTGTCTTTTTAAACTCTAATCCTTTTTATCTCATATCAGAACCTGTCAACGTCAGTATCACAAATATATCGTTCAATAGCATATTAGAACTTGACATACTTAATGCATCTAAAAAACTAAAAAACAAAATGACTTCTAGTTGTGATAATATTCCTAGCTATCTGGTAAAAGATTGTATAAATGTTCTAGTTAAACCACTGGTATTTATCTATAATATTATAATTATAAAGTAACAAAAATATGTACAACATTCAAAAACGGCGATTTAACTGTCATATCAAGTTACAGGTCCATAGCAATTTTGTGTAACCCATATTCTACCAATGGGTAAAAATATACTTTTTATCATATTAAACATTTATTTTATTTTATAACGGATGAAATAATAACATTTTACAAAAAAAATTGTTTACTGAGGTTTGCAAAAAAAATACATTGCAATTTCGCACCCTTGGTAGGATGTATATACAAAAAAAGCTAATGTGTGTGATACTTTAGACGTACGTCTGGAGTTAGTTCCAGCATTTGTTATCATGTGGCCCACATTTTCAAAACGAAGCTCACCAGTCACTCTCGATGTAGAAGGTTTTCGAACTGAAGAATCTGTTTTTATAAGACGTACGGCAATGTAAGATATACAGTCCAACTGGCTAATTTTCTCATCATTGGCAATATTATAAAGCTTCCAAAAATTTACAAGATTACTATCAACAGAATTGGCAAATAAAAGACACTGCCACTTTTTACCAGAAATCCCAATCCTATTATTTGCCACTCCATTGTCGTGGAGGTCTACCTCGCCCATATTGATATTATGCATTTTATGACATTCGCTTGTTCTTTCTACAGAGACCTCTTTCTTTAGCCTTTGGATATATCTATTTGTAGTGGTTAAGGACTCTACATTACAATGACTGCTAATAACGGAACCACGAAATTATCATTCTACCTTACTACCAATATTCCAGTTTAAGTATTGTGTGCCGAATCAAACGAGTCATGTTCTTTCTTTGACATGCAGAGTCTAATGGACAACGAAGAGTTCTATTTTCACTACTGTACCGGTGGCATAAAATTCCTTGTCACTTAGACAAGCACACAATCTGTGTCAAGAAAAAATTTAATAAAGAAAACCTGGTGTTTACTAGGATCTTCTTTTATCGATAATAAATCAAGAATAACTTGTCAACCCATATCAATTGGAGATTTTTCTTTGTTTTGGTTGGAATTGTCGTATGCAATAAACTTGTGAAGGTATCCATCTGAAGATCAAATACACCACAATTTAAACCTAAATCGTACAGGTTTACCCTTAATAAACATCTTACAGGAATAGGGAACCATTTGTTCGTCGATAGATAAACTATTACAAAAAACATCATTGAAACATGGCATGAGTTTAGTAAACTTGTTTTTATTAGGATGACTATTATCATTTCTCCTAAAAATGTTGGAGAAATTGATCAATAGATATATACGGGACAATGTTTTACGGGATAAACCGATACATCGATACCAGTTTGCCTACCAATCTGGAAAGTCTTGCGATCCTGAACAAGCATTGAAAAGCAAACAAATAGCACTAGGAGTCTTCCTAGATATAAAAGTAGCCTTTGACTCGGCTTCATACAATTCAATACTGGGATATATGCAAAAGCTTGGAGTAGCCCATTGCAATACGAGGTGGGTAGAGTTTATGTTTAATCATAGAACCATTACCAGTTATCTCCTTAACACAGAAGAGAGGTCTTAGTTAACGAGGGATGCCTGCAGGGAGGAGTGTGGACCTTGGTGGTTGATGACCTCTTATGGGAGTTAGAGAGAGAAAACTTACACGCAAGCATTTGCAGACGACATAAGCATCGTAGTTAACGGTAAATTTGGGTCTGTTATATCCGAAAGGATGCAGCGGGCACTTAGTATCGTCGAAAGATGGTGCCTAAAAGAGGGATTGTCCACAAACCCGACAAAAACCTCTGTTGTTGCATTCACAAGAAAAAGGAACCTTATAGGAATGAAGGAGCTTTATATGTGGGGACAACATCTAAAAATGGCAAAAGAGGTTAAATATCTTGGAATCACTCTTGATGACAAGATTAACTTCTGCAGCCATATAGAAAAAACAACAGAAAAAGCTGTAAGAATACTATGGGCCTGTAGACGGATGGTAGGGAACGTATGGGGGCTTAAACCAAGTATGATGCACTGGCTTTACACTATGGTTGTAGTACCTGTTATAACCTACTCATCAGTCATATAGTGGCACAAGACTAAAAGCATAACAGCTAACATAAAATTAGACAAGGTACAAATACTAGCCTGTCTAATAATAACAGGGGCATTTAGACCTACGCCCACAGCAGCAATGGAGCTACTGCTAGGTTTTCCTCCACTACACCTTGTGGTGGAGAAAGAGGCTCTGGCGGCGGCATACAGGCTGTTTACTAATGGATTTGGATGGAAACTTTCGAGAAAAGAACACCACACAATGATATTTGAGAAAAAATAAAGCAAAATCTGGTACTAAGAATGCCATCGGATAGAACGCCCATTATTCACGACTTCAGGAAACCTTTTGATATCCAAATACCAGAAAGGGCCAAAAACCGGAAAAATAGGGAAAAACAAATCGAATCAATCTGGTATACAAACGGTTCGAAAATAAAAAAACAGCACAGGAGCTCGGATCTACCATGTGAACTCAGGGAGGAGAATTAGTTTGAACCTGGGGTCACTGACAACAGTCTTCCAGGCTGAAGTAATAGCAATAAATGTCTGCACCAAAGTTATGCTAAATGACTCTCTTAGATAAAAGAGGATCGTTATCATGACAGACAGTCAGGCAGCCCTTAAATCACTAAAAAGGGTAGAAGCACAATCAAAATCAATATTTAATTGCCAACAGTCCCTCCAGGCCCTGGCAGAACATACAAGATCAACCTTGAATGGATGCCAGGACATGAGGGAGTATTTGGAAACGAGAAAGCAGACCTCCTAGCAAGAAACGGAGCGGAAAAACGCTTATTGGACCAGAACCCACGTGTGGTATTTCATACCAACCTGTTAAAGGAACAAATAAAAAGAGGACACCATAGGCTCTGGATGGAACTTCCTGGACTTAGACAGACCAAAAGATTCATAGAGGGGCCATCCACGAGCAGACAACATCAACTGCTAAACCTTAGCAGAAGCGAACTCAAGGCCGTAATAGGACTCCTTACGGGACACTGCGGCCTTAGAAGATACCTAAATCTCTTAGGGATATCTGGTGACTCCCTATGTAGAATATGTCAAGAGGAGGACGAAACTCCTATTCACATACTATGCCACTATCGGAAACTTAAATGGAAACGGGAATGGTACTTCAAGGTACAATATCCGGAACCTGAAGAAATCGCGAAAGCGCCCATCAGACATATTTTTAAATTTATCAAGAAAATCAATCTGATGGGATAAAAACTGTGATGGGTACAATAAGCCTAGAGCTTTAGTACAAGTGGGCTTTGAATCACGCCCCAATTCAGATAGATAGATCTGATAAGTGAAGATTTCTTTTGATAATATAGAATTTGTTTCTACACATACAACATTTAACGATATCCACGCCTTTGTCTTCATCAGTTCACCAGTATAAATGTGTTTGTGGAAGTTTATAATGTCCTGTAAATATCATTAGTCCAATAAATTTTAGTAAATCGGAGAGTTAAATCAAAATCGTGTCTATTGTTATCTTTCGCATATATATTAAAAAAATGTATGATAAGATCCACCACCTTGTCATCGAAAAAAATATCTAAGGGAGATTCTCCATGGAAATCAGCTTTTATTCGATCCTTATGTTAATATTCACCTGACACCGATTAAGACAAAAGTAAAATCGAACCATTTTTCCATTGAGGATCTTTGCACACATTAATTTCAACCGATTTTGACAGTTACCTTTAATTTCCGTCCAAGGATTTATCATCCCATTCTTTTTTCTCAGCAGCAGCTCCCTTTACTTGAAGCTCAAGGGTACCAGCAATGTAATTTGTGTGATTACCTTGATTTATAGCCAGATTGGCGTCAAAGTTTTCTTCGTCAGTGAGCTCATCGGGGTCAGGTGGAATATAAGTCGTATCAAATTCCACTAGCTTCATTGACATACTAAATAAAACAAACACGAATTTTAAATAATCCTTACCATTTTAGTTCTCCAACTCAATTATCACCTCTTCTATAGCACCTTCTAGTTCTTTTTGCGTAAGATATTTAGGCACTTTGTAAACTAAACACAGATCTAACTAGTACCTAAGACAAACATGTACTAATAAACTGCCACGTGTACGTACAAGAAGAGGAAAATCACAGAGCACGAGGGCGTGAGTCCCACCACTAAAATTTGGCGCTTAATAAATAATACTTTGTATGAATAGCACATTTTACTAATGATGCGTTTTCGCATCAGCCAAAATTTACTGTACAATTTTTTAAAAACTGCTAAATATTTTATACATTTGTGCTTATGTGGTAATCTGTATATCATTAATAATAATAATAATAATATTACTCTCCCTTGAGCGACTTGTGTAGTATTATTTTCCGTGACGCTTCGTGATGATTTAAAGATGATTGATGGTGTCATTTGAATTACAGGTCAGGAAAACCCGGAAAACCTCACCCACCATCATCGAGGCGGTACGCATGGCGATTTATAATCTAGATGTCATATCAACCGAAATTGAATTTATGTTAATACGCCATACATCAAATCCTACAACGAACCATGCAATTCAATTAAAAATCCACATGGTCTGGTGTAGGATTCAAAGTTTCTGAACCACAAACTTGCCTATAAATGAATATAAGCACCTTAAACAGCTACATCACCGACTCCTATCCAATTTGTACCTAACCAGAACAAAAAAAAATTGTTGTTATAAAAAAAAAATCATCAGGATTTGTTCAAGGTCGAAAATTTTACTCAAATTCCTCATTTTTTTTTTTCGGGACCATAATGTTTATTGACTTTTAACTTTTTTCAACTTACCCGGATATCTATTCTTAAATCCCAGAGACTAGAAATTTTGAGGGAAGAATTCAAGAATACCTATCCAGTACTACCACTACTAATAGTGTACCTATTTTGCAAAACCTTAATTTTAATATTTAAATAACCAAAAAAGGTTGACAGCTGTGTGCATGTAGTTTAGATTCAAAAGGAAAGACTTGTATTTCGTGCAAAACTTTTTAATTAATAAATGCAAAGCGCTTTCGGCTTATTTGCCATCATCAGTGCTTATCTACAAAAATTGTGGATGTAAACTTACAATTTAAAAAATATATTATAAAATTTGAATAAGACTTTTAAGTCAAAAGTTAAAATTGTATATATACGATTGTTTGAACAAATTAACAATTACAAGAGACAAACAAAGTGACAAAAAACTGGTATTGGGAATAGTGAGTGTGGGATAAGCCCTTACGAATCAAATCTGATCTGATCTCCAGAAGCAAGTTAGCTTGTGTGGAATTAAGGAATTATGCCACCTTCACTATTCACAAAATTGAAAACAAGTTAACAAATTAGTTAAAATTTAAAGAAATTTACAAATAGAGGGTGACTGTGGAAGATATATTGAAATTTGAATCTAAAATACAATATTTAATATGAAGAAAGTTAAACGCAGAAGGCCAAAGTAAAAAAAACTGAAGGTTTTTTTTATATATATTTTATATACATTATAATTATAAAAAAGTCTACCTACTGTCCACAACGTATCCAACAAGTTCCTGGTCATCCTCACTCCCAAAATTAGATATTTCGGGATATTTACAACTTGCTAAATCATAATCTTAGTATTATTAGTATTTTCAAATTTAAATTTATCTATTCATTTTTACTCAAGTTGTTTAACCGTTTCCACATGACAGTGGTGACACTTGAAGACGTTGACTTGTCAAATGTCAAGAGAAGGAGGTGCGTTCACCTCAGTGTAGAACATGTTTCTCCGAGTGTGATTCGAGTGATTGGAGGTGGTTAACGGAGATCAAAATTTGTTAATATTGAATTTAAAGATTTGATTTATTGTTAGTTAAATTTAAATAAATGTTTAACATAAATGATATTATTATTTTGATGTCAAGACAAAACAAAAATGTCACTCGCGTGATTCTGATGTGCCAGCCCGGGCTCTGCAGAACATTCTTTCAGAGAACCCAAAATGGCACAACTGAACCCGCGGTGCCTAAAGGTGAATCTGATGTTTAGTCCTAAAAATTACTAAATCACTCATCAAGCGTACTCATGGTTGAAAGAGACAAAATAATAGAGAATAAAAAAGTTTTAAACAAAGGAGTACCATGGTCCCAAAGGTAAGCTCTGATGGGTGAAATCGAGTTTCTTTTCGCCTACGTTGACGATCGGTCGAGTTAATTTTGAATAAAGGAGATTCCTTTTTTTTTGGTGTCTGAAGTTAGAATCACGGGTCGGTCACACGAAATTGCGATTAGTTTTTTTTGTAAAGCCACACAGTGGGAAAAGTAACCTGTGCCTCAGCCTGCATCCTAAAGAATTAAAATATGTTCATGTAAGTAAATAGTTTTAAGGAATTATATCTAATTATTGTGTAGTCCACGGAGGCTAAGTAATTGCGAAAACAATATAAATTGTTTTTTTATTTGTTTAAATAAACCACAGTTATTTGTTTTACGCTTGTTTCAATTTCCTGTGATTTAGGAAAAGTTAAGGTTCCATCTGAACTTAACCCCCTAGCCGTGTGTTGTCTAGAGGCCAATTTAAATACAAATTGGGCCCCTCTATACAACTCGTGGTTACCGCTAAAAGTGGGCTTGGCCAGTCAAAAGGGCCTATAATCTCACTATTAACAAATTTTGATCTCCGTTAACCACCTCCAATCACTCGAATCACACTCGGAGAAACATGTTCCACACTGAGGTGAACGCACCTCCTTCTCTTGACATTTGACAAGTCAAAGTCGTCAAGTGTCGCTTGTCACCACTGTCATGTGGAAACGGTTAAACAACTTGAATTAAAATGAATAGATAAATTTAAATTTGAAAATACTAATAATACTAAGATTATGATTTAGCAAGTTGTAAATATCCCGAAATATCTAATTTTGGGAGTGAGGATGACCAGGAACTTGTTGGATACGTTGTGGACAGTAGGTAGAATTTTTTATAATTATAATGTATATAAAATATATATAACTTGTTATAAATGTTAACTTGTTTTCAATCTTGTAATTGTTAATTTGTTCAAACAATGGTATATATACAATTTTAACTTTTGACTTAAAAGTCTTATTCAAATTTTATAATATATTTTTTAAATTGTAAGTTTACATCCACAATTTTTGTAGATAAGCACTGATGATGGCACATAAGCCGAAAGCGCTTTGCATTTATTAATTAAAAAGTTTTTCACGAAATACAAGTCTTTCCTTTTGAATTTTAATTTTAATATTATTGTGAGAAAAAAAATACTTAAATAACGGAAGCGTTTTCGCAATTGTGGTAAAAAATAGGATAATTTTAGTAAGCTTGTTGAAATTATCCTGTATGAGAGTCAAAACTTCAATAAGTGAACTACAGCACAATTTTGTGTCAAAAAAATCTACTGTTAAAAATCTTGTTTGCTTTACCCAGTATACATCTGAGATTCTTGACCCGGTGGGACAGGTAGATGCAATGTAGACGTATTTACAAAAAGTATTTAATAAAATTGACCATTTCTTACTTTTATATCTAAGTTAAGATCTGCGGGGCTATCATTGTCATTGCTTAGTTAGACGTTCTCAGACTGCTGAACACGGTAAGTTAAGGTCTCATCCATATGTAGCTACTTCAGGTGTTCCACAAGGATCAAATCTAGGACCGTTATTATTTTTAATATTCATAAACGTTCTTTCTCAAAATTTTAATGCTTTCATTTCTTGTTTGCCGATGACCTAAAACTTTACTGTACACTTAATGGTCCTGAAGGATAGTTACAGATTGCAGCAGTCATTAAATACTGTGCTAGTGCTTGAAAAAGTCGTTACAACTTAATATTTCTAAAGATAAAATTGTCTCATTTTCCCGTCTCAAAGGGCCCTATGAATTTGATTATTTGTTTAACAATGATGTTCTACAACGTTGTGATACTTTTAATGGCCATAATGGAGATATTACCGCTGCAGCATCTGAATTGCTAGGATATTGTGCTAGAAATTGGTTGAGTTCTGCTGATATTGAAACTTTTAAATTATTTTATATCACATTTGTAAGAAGCTACGTGGATATTGTTTTGTAATATAATCGCCTATTTACTAGAGCTTTCTATATTATGCTCCAATGAAGCTGTGCAAAGAAAATTCCTGAGTATTATCCTGAACGAAGATTTAATCATGAGGAATAACTTCTGATGGATAGGCGAAACCACGCATCAATCTCATTTTTGCATAAACTTGTAACGGTTGGAACCGTTTTCGTTATTTAGACCCAAACATTGTAACGGTTGATATTGTAACGGTTGGAACCGTTTTCGTTATTTTGACGCAAACATATCTGCCCTAATGTCATTTGTCGTTTATGCCTTGAGCCAAAACTTGATTGTCATTTCGATTCGTCTCTGTCAGCGAATAGGTTAATTTGAAAATTATCTTTTATCTTGGACATGCGATGTACTAATTTTCTTTAATATTTTTAATGACCGTCTGATTTTAAAAAGGTAAGTTTCCTACCGATATTTTGTTGAAAATATATATTTAGTACAAGAATTTCTTTATTAAAATGTCAAATTTGAAACACATTGAATGACACAAGAAATCACATGTTTTATATAATTTTATCTATTATTTTGTTAGGAAAGAGACAATATGCTTTACTATATTTAAATATGTTAAATAAGATTTTTCCTTTTCATATTAATTTTAGCCTCTGTGAAACTATTTTAATAATAGTTTATTAATTGTGCATTTAATAGTAAACAGCATATTTTCTGTCTCCTATATACACTTCCTGGTTCCCTTCTTGATATTTTTGCCTTTTTCCTTGTAGCCTGGCTGTATATAGATGGTTCTATAGGAGTTATATCGATGGTTCTGTAGAAGTTCTGTAGAAGTTTTGTAGAAGTGTTATCGAAAAAGATTGCATGGAAGAACGTTTAAACTGCATGTGTAGAAGTAATAAAAATTAGAAGTTTAGTTCCAGCTACAGAAGTTGTTTCAAGTATATCAAGAGGTTTAGTTCGAGCCATCCAAAGAAGTTTGCGAGATTTAACTTTACCTATGAAGATTTAACAGTTGGTGATATCCAAGCGTATCATACGAATCCCCTGTACCTGCTACCTGTTATACCACAGATAAGTCAATAATAAATCATTTAAATTTGAATAAGTAAGTCTCTGTGAATTTAAATTTGTCGCTACCTTATCTGAAACCTTATTTAATTATAATATCTTAATGGTTAGTGATTTTCTATATTTTCATCACTAATCGATTGCCAAGTTTAGAAAGTTTTAAATATAGTGGCTCTCAACATTCTTTTTCAAAGTAATACGAGTTGTTTAATAACCTGACCCACTCCCCAAAATCATAGAGCTTAAAACACTATAAAAATAGATAAAATAACAAGATCATATTACAAACTTTAAAATAATAAAATTGATCCTTCGTATAATAAGTAAAACAACTTTTCTTTGCCCAGAATTTAATCACGCAATGAATCTTTTTTCTACAATCCAAATATATTAGTTATGTTTCCAGTAGTTCATATGTGTAAAATGTTTAACAAAGCATGTAATCTAACATACACAGAATTCTGGACATTTACCGAAAAAATAGAGCAAATTAATTAATTCATTAATTTTTTGTTTTCGCTTTCTATTCATTTAAGCACATATGTACCATTTTATAGCATTGTTTTCTTTATAATTAAGTTTTTTGTTTATATGTATTAAGTACCTGCTATTCATGTATATTTTATTTTGTATCATTTTCTGTTAAAGGGTGTATACCTGTTGAAATTAAATTCAAAGACTACGTTCCGCCAGGGTGTCGGGAGACATTATTTAAGTGGATATCGGTCAGACTAGACTGACTTCTTAATCTCATTGTGTACATACCACTAAATTAGTAATTCTACAAAAAGATTATGCAATAAAATGGTTATTATTATGGCGACACCTCTGAAGAGGCTCAAGTGTTTCGGGTATTTGTAGGCCTTCTCAGATTTACCTATTCTCAAAAAATAAGGTCTCGAGGCTGGTGAATTCTGGTTTTGTATATAATAAGCAGAATGTTTTCGATACCAAATATTTAAATGATTTAATTTTTAATTAAGATAAATCTGATCTACTACCAATTGTCAAATAAGTAATGTAATTTTATAATGAACTGTCGTTAACAGTGTAATTATTATAAGATCCACCTGTTGCTTTATTTGCTTTATTTTCATTACATTAAGAAAATGATTACAGCTCTATCAGTATAATAACAGTTTAGATGATCTATTTGCTTATGAGTATTACTTAATAGGTCTTAAGCGTAAACCATTTAATATTCATTAAAATCATCGTACTAATTTAGTGTTTATGATCCTATAAAATAAATATTACTTAGAGGATAAATGTATAACTATTTAAAATGTTTTTAATTCTATCAGTTATTTCCTTGATGTTCTAAAGAGTGTTTTAATATTTGTAGTAAAAAAAGTTTTGAAGCGCTTTCAAAAACATTGTGAAGCTGTGATTGTGATTAAATTTTTTGTTAGTTATTATGAAACAGATATGTTTTAAGTTTTGCACTCACAAAGAGTATGCAAATTTATAGTGAATGTGAATTGATAGTCATTAATTTAGAAGCAGGGCGCGAAAAGGTAGTAAATTGTAAGAGATGTAGAAACAACAACGGATTTAATTGAAAATTAAAAAAATAAGAGGAAATAGTAAACAAATGTATTTTATGTTTACTAGGTAGAAGCAGAGAAAAATATTAACGAAAGAATGGCTGGATAAATTGGGTAAGAGAATAAAAAACAATTAAATCTATACGAAACAAATATAGTATATTACATTACGAGGCATAAGTCAAGTTCGACAATCGCACGAGTGTTATTTTTACACAAGTGGTAAATAATACTTTTCCTACGACCATAAAATAACTTTATCAAAAAAATGAAAAATCAGGAAATCTGGCTATTAACGTTAAATCAATATATGGCAGGTTTTAGGTTTTATTTTATATACCTCAATGAATATTCTTAAAATTGTTTTTAAGATGGTTAAAAACATTGTGATCCCGTTTTCGAACACTTTTATAGGATGATAGCGGTAAAATAACATTAAGTACAAAAAAATATTAGAATACAATAGTGTTTTTTATTAGTTTATTTTAAATAAAACAAATATTTAGACGCACAATCGTAGACAAGAACTTTTAATACTTATATATACCTAATTTTTTTATGATCAGTAATATTAATAGTACAAAATTAATAGCGGAAAAATTATCTATGTTTTTAAAATAAATAAAAAAAAAGTTCTATTTTTCAGTTTCCATATTTTCCTGAAGGGTATTCAAAATACTACAAAATAAATAGCTAACTATAGGGGTTATATTATATTGATAAATAAAATGTATTTAAAAGAAATATACAACAATATTTGTATTTTTCCAAAATTATATAAAAAATTAAGATTGCTCTTTTCGAGATTGAACCTGCGTCGCGACACGGTAACGACATGCGGACTTGATAAAGTTAAAAGCTCTATGAACTGAGCCATCAGAATGTCTTATAAATTATATAAGCAAAAGTCCACATTTTCAGCCCTTTACCGCCCCCTTTACACATCAAGTACAAACAAACATGGTAATAAAAAAAAAACATTTAATTAATTTTAAACTGTCTTTTACTTTCAAAAGTTGGAATAATTTATTTTGATTTTATTTTTGAGAGAATAAAGCCATATCTTGATTCTGGACCAAATACTAAAGAAGATGACTCCGTAAGTAATTTTACGCATTTCTCCACAGATTCAGTATTGCAAGGACACTTTGGAAAATCAAAATCTGGAATTTCGGTCTCGTTTACAAGGTCCCTAAGATTATCCTTAGTAAAATGTTTAAAAGAGGAGGCAGTGTCACATCGCACTCATTCCAGTAAATCAACTCAAAGTAGTCTGTAGCACTGAAATTAATTTTTTGTACTACAAAGTGTTTTACTTTAACGGTTTTTTTTGAGTGGTTTCTTTGGCTTTTAAGATTCTTTGTAAAGATAGTTCCCGAACCCATTCACGAGTGTCTGATTTCATACACAAAAGAATGTTTTTAGATTACCGTATCCACAATACTTTTTAAATCATCTCTTAAATACCGTGACAGTTGAATCGTTTTAAATACATGTAATTTACCACTAGTGGAACTGAAATTTAGTTTAATATTAATTATGAATTTAGCCATATCCGGAAGGCTTAATGTTGGCTTTTCCGTTCCACGATTTGCCATTGTGAGCCATCTAGAGTGCGCTAATTTCCCAGCATTACGGTGTGCTAAATTTGATGAGAAATTTCCGCTTGATACTGCATTGCAAATGTCATATAAATATGATTGATTACAAATTAAATATCTAGACATTTCAGTTATATTTAGCAACTCACATTTTATTGGGATCACATTTATAATTTTAAGACGTTCATATTTTTCTAAAGACTTCCCGATTTCACCAAAATATTGACGAGGTCCCACTGTGCTGCCATCTAAATGTTGGAATAAATGTCTTAATGGCAATTCGTTGGCGTGTAGTTGGCATTTGTAAAAGACGTTTCAATTTAGTATCAATATACCTAATAGCACCATATTTATTACCGGTGTTAACAACAGTACCTTCATAACCAACAGTTACCAAATCATCTAGTTCCAAATTGTATTTAGCAAAAAAGTCCAATTTGGCTTTTCCAATTGACTTTGCCGTCCCTGTAGTTGGAGTTACGACGTCAGTATAGATAGACTCAGGTTCTTCGATAAGCGATACGTGTTCTTCGACAACAGGTTTTTTGTTTAATCTACCGTCTTTCTTCTCTTGCAGTAAAGTCTTGTCCTTTCTTTCATCAAAATACAGACTTCTTATTACTCTGTTATCACTTTCAAACTACTTCCGTGCAACATTATGCAACTGGTTGCATTAAGTAGATCATTTTGACACTTGCTGCGATTACAAAAAATGTCACTTATTTGTTTTTTTTTTAATCAAGTTAGTGGCACTCAATATAAACCAACAGGCACAAATTAAAATAATAATAATAGTAGTTGTGTAAAATAAATATTGTGGAATTCAGGCTACGCCACTGATTACTCAGGTTTATGATAGCAGAAAAAAGTGTCAGATCTATTAATATTTTGTCGTATAATTAAGACACATACTTTGATTACTAAACGAGGCAAGAGAGAGGTCCGACACGCCCAACATAGGGCGCGGCCATTTTGAACCCTGTGACACAGTTTACAGCTAAAGAATCAGATCGCTCACTCTGCGTCAGCACTTTGGATCTCAATGTTTCAGTTTAAACACTGTGCTACTCGGATAATACAATATATGACAACCGCCTATAATAAAACAGCAGTATTCTGCGTATCCTGAATTTGTATCCCTGGAGTGGATGTTATTTTTGAACTTTCAAATGGTCCGAGTGAGCTAACTGATTCTTTAGCAATAAACTGTGACTTCAAAAATAATATTCACTGACACTGACAGCAGCAAGCAAAATATCAGGTGCGTTTTAATCATCCGCTTCTGCTTCCGGAATTGTCGGTCTAGTCGTTTTAACCTGTCAGATTAAAACAAGAAAACCGACAATTCCGAAGCAGAAGCGGATGATTAAAACGCACCTATTAAAAATATTGCGCCAAGATGTAGGCAACACGTAATAAGGGTTCAAAATGGCGGAGTTTTCTATCTCCTTTTAAAAGGCACTCAAAAAGCTGCGCAGTGCGACCATTCTCCGTATAGTAAAAGAAAATCAAAGTATGTGAATTAAGACGGTATTTTTGTATTTGCAATTTTCTGTATTAAAAAATATTATTAAGGACGTTTAAACTTTTATCAAGCCACACCAGTGAATTTCCTACAAAATTGGGGACTCATCCGGGAAAGAGACAATTATAGAAAAAATAAGGAAGGTGAAGCTATTTTTTTAAGCAAACAAAACATGTAAAAGATGAAAGACGAACAACGTACTTAAGACAAAGGAAATTCAAATACAAAAAGCGAGCAAGACGACAAAGAAAGACATAAGAGAAGCCCAAGAACTAAAGACAAGGATTAAGAGAAGCCAAGGACCTAAGACAAAGATTCATTCAAAAACCAGTGAAACAATAATAGGTACTTTGAATAAGGATAATTTCCTGACCGTAGTAGAGTTTTATATAAATAAACATTTCCTAGGTTTATTATTAAACGGACATTAAAGATTTGTCAGACGTTTATTTCAATATTATTAAATAATTTTAAGTTTTTTAATCCTTGACTGTAACGCCACTGCTAATTTTTAAATTTGTAAAAACTCATCTTTTTGTTTACCTACTTTATCGTTATCGTGTTAAACCAAATCATTATTTTGAATACACCTTCACACGCTGAAACAGAAAGATAGGGTTTCTGTTATTTTAAAAAAATAAAAAAAAAATTAAAACTTTGTAATCGTCCCCAAGTTTTATTAAATTTTGACGGCACAGGAAGATCGAAAAAATGTTTCCGAAACATATGTAGTGCTGTGCTAAAATAAAAACATGACCGAATAAACCTAGGAAATTTTTATTTATATAAGTTAATAAGTACTACAAAGACGAGAGAAGACGTAACACTATCTAAAGACGAAAGAGGATGTTGCAAACATAGCCGGTTTCCAGTACATTTCCTTATTGAAAGAATAACTATCGGTCCGATAAAGTTATGTGTCTAATAAATAATAAAGCGCTTCTAAGAACTTATCTACAGATAATTATCGCTCTATAGAAATCCATCATTTAAACAGACCTCACAAATTCTCACTAGATGGACTTTGACAATTTAACGTCATTTAATAATTTTTAATCATAACGAAAATGGAGGTGAAAGTTCTAAAAGTTCCAAAAATTTTATAGATGTCGACAAATAGTTATTTATCATACAAGGGAAAAAAATATTAGATCTAATATTTTTTCCGTATAATACACTATTTTCTTCTGTGACGGGAATAACGACGATTTAATATTAAAAAACATATATACCTTTACTTATGTGTATACGGAGTGGCCCAAAAGTCTGGAAATGGCCAATTATCTCGTAGATTGCTAATCCTAATTGTACAATATTTGAGATACACCTATTTTGGATTACAGAGATTCCAGATTTGATATTTGTAATGTTGCCAGATTTGCCATTTCTCTTATATTATTAGACACTTTGGTTTTTCAAATTTATCACCCTGTATATTCAGTCATTATTGGAATCTCCTATTCAATACGAGTTCAACCATATGTAACACGTACGATGTTATGTAGTCTGGAAGGTCTTAAATAAATAAAACAATCATGGATAAATGTGGTAGACGCATTCAACCATCGATTAGGGTACTGTCAACTCACAAATGGAGCACATTTTGAACACTTGATAAAGTAACCATTATGCTAAAAATGTTATAATCTTTCAATTGTTACGTTTTAATGTAATTAAAAATAGTTTGTATTAAAAAATTTATAGAGACAGGCGTTGCCAGACTTATTTTAATTATTTAAGACCTTACATAAAATCATAAGTGTTACATATGGTTGAACTCATATTGAGTAGGAGATTCCAATAATGACTGAATATACAGGGTGATGAATTTGAAAAACCAAAGTGACTAATAATTTAAGAGAAACGGCAAAACATTGCAAATACCAAATCTGAAATCACTGTATTCCAAAATAGGTGTACCCTAAATTTTGTACAATTAGGACCAGTAATTTACGAGATAATTGGCCGTTTCCAGACTTTTGGGCCACTCTGTAAATCTATCATGGGTAGGCAAAGGGGTATAAGTGATATAAGTCAAAAATTTAGAAGCTGGGTAAATCTATGTCATGTCTTATAAAAAAAAGGTATTTTTCTACTACCGTTCTTGAAAGTACTACCATTTTGCACGCTACAGAGTTCGTAAAACTTTCCTTCGCGCACTAGTGCGTAAAGAGTTTTTATTTACGCACTGAGAGAATATATTATTAAATTAAATAATAAAAGTTACAAAAATTATAATTAATGATTTTTAACAATCTTGCTAAGTTGGCTGTGATTGACTGACATTTAATACGTGTTGTGAGATATTTATTAAATTTCTTTATTCACTAGTGCGTAAAGAGTTGTTATTTACCCACTGAGGGAATATAATATTAAATTAAATAAAAATAAAAGTTACAAAAATTATAATTAAAGATTTTTAACAATCTTGCTAAGTTGGCTGTGATTGACTGACATTTAGTACGTGTTGTGCGATATTTATTAAATTTCTTTATTCACTAGTACGTAAAGAGTTTTTATTTACCCACTGAGGGAATATAATATTAAATTAAATAATAATAAAAGTTACAAAAATTATAATTAAAGATTTTTAACAATCTTGCTAATTTAGCTGTGATTGACTGACATTTAGTACGTGTTGTGAGATATTTATTAAATTTCTTTATTCACTAGTGCGTAAAGAGTTGTTATTTACCCACTGAGGGAATATAATATTAAATTAAATAAAAATAAAAGTTACAAAAATTATAATTAAAGATTTTTAACAATCTTGCTAAGTTGGCTGTGATTGACTGACATTTAGTACGTGTTGTGCGATATTTATTAAATTTCTTTATTCACTAGTGCGTAAAGAGTTTTTATTTACCCACTGAGGGAATATAATATTAAATTAAATAATAATAAAAGTTACAAAAATTATAATTAAATATTTTTAACAATCTTGCTAAGTTGGCTGTGATTGACTGACATTTAGTACGTGTTGTGAGATATTTATTAAATTTCTTTATTGTATTCGACATTTAAACTGAAATAAGGCAAGTAAAAATATATCTTTTTAAAATGTAGGTAATTATTATGATATTACTGTAGATATTTTCTTCAAACTTCATTTTAGCAATATTGCTGAGAATATTCTGAGAATGTCCTGGTGGCATATTTTTCAAGTGAATTAAAACACTATAATCCATCCACAACATGGTCGATATTTTCTATGTTAAAAACAACTTTAAAAATAAAAAATAATATTGACACATCAAAATATTATAAATTAGTTAGTTTTGTAAAAAATAAGAGCAAGGGGTACAAGGCTAAAAAATCAAACATTTTCGAAAAAGATTACTTAATAACTTTTCTCTCAACTTTTCTAATGATTAAAGTAAGCATAATTTACAATAATTATTATATGTATATTTCAATTATAAAGTATTTATATAATTTTTATAATAAAAACTGGTTGTGATGTAATTTAGCACTCATTTTTATGGAAAAATTGCAAATATAAATAATACAACAAAAAGTTAGTGGCGCAGTGGTAAAATGCTTGTCTCCGGTGACGAAGATCCCGGGTTCAAATCCGAGCCAGGGAAACTTTTTTTCTGCTGAAGTGAGTAATAAAGTCATCAGTCATTAAATCAATATTGTTTTTTCCATGTGGCAATTATAATTGGCATTTTCGGCGCATACCGAAAAGACGAATTGACAAATTTGCAAATATGATGATATCGAAGACAAAGAAACAGTACTTTTTATTAGAATTTCTGAAACTAAAATTGGGACGGAAAGAATTTTTACTATTTTAAATCCCACCAATTCAAAAATTGATTATTTATCTTATATTAAAAAATATATTGCCTTAAGACCTTCTATGCTGCGACTTCCAGATTCTCTTTGAAATATGGGCACAAGAAGTGCGCCAAAGAGCCAGTAGGCATAAATACACACTAGTGCGTAAAGAAATATACTGTACATAAAAAAATGTATATAGAACCTTTATTTTTTAATAAAACTCATGTGATTATCACACGAGCCGTACGCGAGCGCAACAATATTCACATTCGTCAAAA